GTATGAGGACAATTTTCCTATTGTGAAAAAGTATTTTGAAAATCAAAATTGAAAAATGGAATTCCTTTTTCTTTAACTGTTTTAGAACTACTGGAAGGAAGAATCATGAGAGTAAAACTTCCTCTTAAACAGAAGTTCTGATTTTTCTTTATTTGGACTCACTTTTCATTCAGTGACCAAAGAGGTTTTGGTACAGTGGTATAAAGTGAAAAATAAAATGTATTAAAACAAAAAGGAGAAAGTTGGAATTATTCACTTAAACTTTCTGCCCACTGCAAGCTTAAATAAAATAGATGCAGTCCTACAAGTTCCTGGGTTTTTAAAGAACAGAATTTTCCAGTTGAAAACTGCTTGGCTGAAAACTTGACGTCTTAGAATCATAGAATATCTCAAGTTGGAAGAGACCCATAAGGATCATCAAGTCCACTTCTATGTGTAAAGGAGTTAGTGAAGTTAGTGAAGTAGTGCAAGTAATGAATGATGGTAAATTGTGTTCCTCTGTTAAGCAAAAGACTTTTTGTTACTAGGGTCAACCAGGTGAACCTGGACAAAAAGGAGAACTGGGACTTCCAGGAATTGGCGTACGAGGACTTAAAGTGAGCCTGTTTTTTATTTTTAACTGCTCCTTACAGAGTCTTCTAATTCTTTCACTAGTTGCTGATAAACTAAGTAGAAGATTTTTTAGTATAAATTGAGTATGATCAAAATAAGAAGGAATTTCAGTGACAGGCATTCAGTTAACTTCACAGTTTTAACTTTTAAAGTCAACATGCTGTGCTGGAGCTCCCACCCTTGCTCCTAAAATCATTACTGCAGCCATAACTGGAACAGAGTTTTCCTCCATCTTTTCTAAGCTAGTGAGGTATTTCCAAGGCCTGATAGAAACATTACTACCTCTGTTCTTCCGCAATGATTTGAAAAAAAAATAAAACAGTCTGTGTGACAGTGGTAGTCATGCTGCCCACATGTTAGGAGACTTGTTGAACACTTAAAGCTTTGACTTCAGCTTCCATTTTCAAGACTGTATATACCATGTCCTTAATGATTTAAGTAGGGCTTCCAAAATCTTGGGTAAGATGACATAGACATCTTGTTTTGGGTGATTTTTCCCACGATCATGGACTAAGTGCTTGGCAGGACTAGTTCCTATGGATAGTTTCAACTTTTTGTGGCAAGTCTTAAAAGTACTGCCTAGACCAGTTTGTACAGCCAGCAAGGTGTTAGTCTCCAGTCAACAACTCCATTTAGGGCGTTTTTGGCTGACCGTTCCTTAAGTCCCAGATGTTTGACTTTGCAAGTAAATTACATTCATATCATATTTTTCTTGTGCACATAATAACAAACAGCATTTAATCATGTTTTTACTCACTGAATAAATATAAACTTATTTAATACACAACCAAGATTTAAGAAATAGGTGGGGAGCTTGGAAAGAAATTTAAAATACTTATTTTAGATTGTATGAGTAGAAAGAATTACTGACTCTATAGAGTATTTAACTTACTGGGAATAAGTACTTTTATTTGAGCAAAAATACTGTATATCATTTATTAATATTTTAACACTGTTAGATCCATTTTACAGAATAAAGAACTTATTAAAATATACAGGTAGAATTATTTTTCATCTTTAAGGGAGATATAGGTCCATCGGGACTCCCAGGAGAGAGAGGAGTGAAAGGAGATCCTGGGAATTCAGGGAAAAAGGTAAGGAAATATATTTTACGGCATGCAAAAGGTGCAGATGAGAGAAGAACAAACTATTATTAGCAGGTATGCAATGGCAAGGAGGTCATCCTGGAGGAGGGCATGTGCCAATATTCCTGCCAGGGAAAAGGGACTAGGCTAGTTGAGTTTTTTCCAACAAACCTTATTAGCAGTGGCTACTGTCTGAATCTGCATCTGATTTAGCTGCCCTGCCTTTTGTGGGCTATTGACTACTGTTAAATTTAACGGTCTTTTTGAAGAACAAATAACCTGTGTCTTTAGCCTGTTCCTTACAGCCTGTTCAGGTTTTTCCTGACAGCAAGAAGTCATGATCAAATTGATGTGACTTAGGGCATCTAGCAGAGTGGTGAGTAGTGGCTGAAACCTGTCAGCCTGGTACAGAAACCATCAGGAACAGCTGAAACCAGGGCTGCTTGTATCCAAGGGTAATTCTGAGATGTTAAGAGAAACTCCACCACGCTGGGAAAAAGAAGCATAAATTCAAGATGATGGAAAGGAATTTAGAGGGATGCAAGGCAGAGTGCCCAGAACAGTCAATTTAGAGTTAGTTAAATGGAGGGTTTTAATTTTACTCTTTCTGAATACAGTGAGCTGCTGAGTGAGCAAAACTCAGTGCTTTGGCTGATTGTTGAATTGCTACTGAGAATCCAGGCACCTCCAAACTTTGCTAGTGTGCAGCTCTTAAATGAGGGTAGCAGCTGGCCAATGTGTAGAATTGATGAACTGAACATGATTCAGAGTAAGCAAATCAGCATTTTTTGACTGCAGGTCTTTAATCAGAAAATATCTGAATAGCTGTAATAAACATCTATTAAATATGCAGCTTCACCTTTTTTTAATCTACAAGAGCAATGCAAATACCAGTTGGATAAGCAGCGGCCTGAGGCAGTACGCCTTCCACTGTGGAAAAATATGTAGCATTTCTGTTGCTGCTTAATTATTTTTTAAAATTCTAAAATCGCCCACTAGGTAAGTGTTCAGAAATGAAGATCCCAATGTGTCAGAAGTGAAACATCAGAATTAAGAGTAAATGTTGGGTTAAAGTTACCCAACTTTTGTATTTGGGAATGCTGGGATTTTTTTCTCTTGCATTTTGCCTTTATTCTGATGATCAACTTGATGCTGTCACCTCCACTGTCGGGTGAAAATACTAGTACTGAGCAGCTACCTTGGATATTCAGGACAGTGCAAAGAACAACTTGATGCCTGCAGTGAGTAGCACAGTGATGTTACAGCAGTTACTTGCAGGTATGAAGCTGTCTCACAGAAGTGGGATCCAGACTGATGCCTATCCATAGCAGGCTTTATAATGCCATTTCCGTCAACAGTTCAAATCAGAAATGGATTTTTAGACTTCATTTTAATTTACTTTTCACGTTCTGAATTATCTACAGGCATGCCGATATACAAATATTTGCAGCCTGGACTGGCCTTTGGCCATGGAGTTACCTAAAATTACTGCTTCTTTAAAGTTGTTTTTCTTAGAACTGGTCAACCGATACCTTTTCTGATAACTTGGCAAGCATTTCTCTTCCTCATATGAGTACATGAGTACAATCCTTCTTAAAAAACATTGATGCAATTGCAAATGGCACTATTACAAATGTCTGTGAAAATAAAGAATATGAATGCAGGAGGGTGGAAGGGGTTTAAGAAGACAGAATATTTTTTTCAGAAAAAAAAATCAGATATTTACTGACATTTTGGGGAAAAGTGTTTATGCAAGCATTGTTTCTCATAAGTCTGTTGATTCAATAAAATTAGCTACATGAAAATTAATTAACCATCTAATCTCTGTTAGGGGGAAAAGGGAGATCAAGGTCCAAGAGGCCCAGAAGGACCCCCTGGCAAAGGACATGTAGGCCAAAAGGTATGGCTTGACACACTGGAGAAATATTGCAAACTTCAGAAGGACCTCTTTTATAAGAGTTCAGATTCTGGCCTGTTTTTTTCATTCATTGTATCTTAAGTAGCAATTACAGTTTAAGGGATGATTTAAAAGAATTTCAGAGAGAGCAATGTGTTCCTTAGCCTGAACAAGTGCAGCAAAATCAGACTGTAACCATAAACCCTAAAGTTAGTTAGGCAGTAGAGATTTCCTCAAGATTGAGTACAGAGTTTTCATTAAAGTTAGAAAAAGGCAAATTGTCTCAGTTTGCTGACAGGGAGAGAGAAGCAGCTAAGAGAAATTAGGTGACTAGTTAGATATCTAAATATGAAATTAAAAGCCTGGAAAGATGTATTAGTAGACAGATAGCTTCTATCTCCCACCTGCTTAAATTTAGGACATTTGGGGCATGTTCTAGAACCCAGTGGGTTTTCTGCTGGAGTGGAGCATCTAAGTACCTTTCTAATTATGGGCATCATTATCGTTGTGGTTTTGGTTATTTGTGTATCTCTCAGTTGTGTGAATCTTTACTGTGATTGAAAAAAAAGGTTTGTTTTTGTCAGGGTGACCCCGGAGAAAAAGGATCCCAAGGTCTGATTGGTTATAAAGGAGTACAAGGCCCAGCTGGACCGAAAGTAAGGTTGCTCCTCCAGGGTAACCCTTCTCTTTGTATTTTATAAAAGAATCTATGGAATTTATGTAACGTGCAAATTTCTCAAGCATCTGATGCTTGGAGACTTAACAAAACAAAGAAAAAGCAGAAATATTTGCATCCTCTGTCCTGAGTGACACAAAAGTCACAAGGAGAAAAAGAATAGGTAGACGTATAGCTACAGACCTTACAGTTATGCATGAGCACTGAGAAGCTAAATTAAAGTTGTCCAAGTGATTCTAACCATGAGAGTTTTGCAAATTTTTGCTTCGAAACATTAACTTTCTATTATAATATTTTGTGAGTAAGTGTCACTCTGAATTATAAGGAAATTAAAATAATACAAGTGTTCTGGTTATTCCATTGGCTTTGTAAGCTGGACACAAAAATGAATTAAAGTTAAAAAATCAAATACACAGTTAAACCAGTAGTTATTTAAAACATTAAACTTGGATCAGCTTTCACAAGCGTAATAAGCTGATTTATGTTTTTTCCCAAATATTGTCTATTTTGTAGGTAGATCTATATTGTAAATATTTTAATAATATAAAGAGTTGAAAAAACTTTTTGCTATTTGTGCAAGAAATGAAGCTGTCTGTTTAAATGTGGATGATACCATTTTGTAACAGGGTGAACCGGGAGAGAGAGGACCACCTGGTATTGCTGGATCATCTATTCAAGGACCTGCTGGACCAAAGGTGATTATCTGATATGTGTTTGCTGGAGACCAGAGACTGGAAAATTTCTAACGCACATTTCTATCAAAATTAAAAGAATATATGTTAACGAAGTTAAAATTCTTCTTTCTACTAACAAAGATGACTGAATTTTAAAAATAAGGACTGAAAAGTACTAAAAATTAATAGAGAGTGTTTGGGGGCCCTTTAACAGGATGCTGAACTTAGTGTTATTGCTTCCTGAAGCTGTTTGTTAAAAAAATCCTTATTACATTTCTGTTATGTTTTGTCCTCTCCTGTGAAAATAATCACTTTGAGGTCTTTTTTTTAAAAAAAAAAAAATTACTGTGCATTTTGTTTCTTAGATTAAAGGTTTCCTGAATGTGTCAGTAAATCCCGGCAGGAATGTGTCTATGTATAGTTCTAGGGAGTTAAATGCTGTACTAGATTTTTTGGAGATGAGAGTTTGTATGTCACTTCCAAGTGAACAACTGGCCTGTAGATACTACTTTAAATGAAATGTCATATATGAGATAGCTAGAGCTACATCCGCCTCGTTTTCTCTTTGAGGAAAAGGTACCTGAAATCAGTGGGACTTGTCCTGCTGCGTTAAATGAGCGGTCTCAGCAACAGTAAAGCTAATGTTGAAGGTTTTAAAAACATATGAAAATTCACTACCACCCTATTTTTATTTTAAGAATAAAATAGTTGCTGTTTTTATAATATCTCAGTTACCTTCAACTTTAGTTGATGCTTTTCAGCTTTGGTGATAGCTTTTAGGGTACAGAAATCACTAATGTATATCCTATTGCTCTGAAGTAATTTCATTCCCTTTTTCTACTTCCTTAAAAACATATGTACCCCGCATACAAGCACATGTAGGTGTTGTACATACAATGTACTCATCAGCCTGGCAACACGACATCACAGAGGGCTAGCATGTGGTTTGGACTTGTTTGTGCATGGAGGAGGAAGGAAGAAGGGAATGCAAGAAGCTCAAGGGTACACCTGGAGTAAAAATGCAACCACAGAGAAGAAAGAAAGGAGAGGATTATGGGGTGCTCATATCTCTTATATTGGTTTAAAACCATAATAATGTGCCACACGTTACGTCAGGAAGATGTAAGTGGCGTGCTACTTGTATGAAGACAGGTTTCACTACAGCGGTCTCACTTCTTCACATTTTCCTGGTTACTGTAACATTTTTTAATAGATCAGTAAGTGAGTCAAGATTGTTTACTGATAAAATTCATGCTGAAAAATAAGAACTTTGTATACTTCACTGCCTTTTTCATTCTGATTTCATTCTGTTCAGTACAGTTCATATCACTTTCATAGCAGACTGGCCATGATCCAAAATGTGCTGGAATCTATAGGAGTTTTTCCAAACTCTTTACTAAATTTTAGGTCAGAGCTTTTACATGCAGTGGCTGATGCGAGAAAACAAGTATTTTGGGTAATTTTAAAGTGCAACTTGGTTTTTAGAAAATGTACAAAACTTTGTCTCTTTAGCTCCATAACAACTTCTTTGTTTAAACAAATATCTGTTATGTTTCTGACAATTGCTCAATAGCATATCAGGCTACACAGGTCCATTTTATCTCTCCACTGCGGAAAGTACAATGATTACTAGTAATTGTGTTCTTGGAACATCCTGGTATCCGCAATAGTGAAGCCAGGCATTATAAATTTCTGATGCAGGGAATCTGCATGTTTTTCAAAGCTGGAAGTTACCATGGTCTGAGGTCTTTTTAGTACATCTCTAAGTATTTGATGTAGTAGTGGGTGATTGCTAGAGGTCTTAACTCCTGGACAGTCATGTTTGTGTCCACTGGAAATTTATTTATTTTAAACTACAACCACATTTGGGGACTAGAGTTTTATTTCCCTTGACAACCATTATGCTGTTACTAATATGGAGATAGTAATATTAGGTAGCTGTTTTTTTTCATATTCCTTTCTCATGATTACAGGTGGTCAGTGGTTTTGATAGAACATTTGATCTGCATTCCCTAGTGAATCTTTCCTGAAATACTGCCTGTCCTTCTCACTAGTGTTAAAAATTGCAAAAGTTTCGCTGAAAATTGAAATTTTCTTTTTAAGATCCGTAGTGTAACATAAAACAGCTGTTGCTGTAGATCAAACACTAGAAGGAGCCATATTTTGCTCTGTGAAGGAATAACCTGAGGAACTTGAATTCTCAGACTGATTGCTTTCAAGGAAAGCCACTGACAGAGCTACAGTTACCGAACAGTTGTACTGGGTATTATTTGAGGAAAAACTCAAGTTTCTTCCTGGGTCTTCAGACTGTGGAGTTTGCAGTTTTGAAGTGCTGTGCCATTGCATCTGTAGCCTTTCTAAACATACTCTGTGACAGCACTTGTCTCTGAATTTCTTCGCTGTTCTCTATATGCTCTGGCAGAAACAAGATTATGCAGCCTTTCTTGTGTGGGCAAAGGCAGGTGGAAGCCACAGGAATTATGATATTCAACCTTCAGTTGAAAACTAAAGCCATCAAGTTATTTGTCAAGGCAGAACAAACTCTTTGACACAGTCGTGGAGAGGCAAAAAATACAAGAGAGGACAGAATCAAGGTAGTAAAAGCTTCATCTAGAAATATTGATTTCATATTACCTAGCTCAATAATTGTCACTGTCAGAAAGAATTGTGTACTTGTTCTTTTCTGTAAAACTTCAGAAATTAAAACTGAAAATAATGAATATGTTGTGGGATTTTTTTCTTTTTTGATAGGGGGATCCAGGACCCAAGGGGCCACCAGGAGATGATGGAATTCCTGGAAATTCAATAATGGGACCAACGGTAAGAGTTCTTAGACAAAAGATGGAAAATAAAGAAACTTGAGACATATGGAAAACTCTTGTGAAAATGTAGAATCCACTTGAACAACTTTTTCAGGAAAGTAACTGACTGGCCGCACCCAGAGGGTAAATACTCCCAGAGGAGTAAATAGCTCCTTTTCAAACGGGCAACCTGTCACAAGTGAGGTCCCCCAAGGACCAATATTGGGCCCAACGCTGTTTAATATCTTCATAAGTGACCTGGATGATGGGATCAAGGGTACCCTGGTGAAGTTTATTGATGATGGCAAACCGAGCGGGGAGTGGACACTTCAGAAGGGAGAGCCATCCTGCAGGAAGACCTGGATAAGCTGGAAAAGTGGGCTAACAAGAACCTTCTGAAGTTCAACAAGGACAAGTGTAAGGTCATACACATGTGAAAACATAATCAAGGAGTGCAGCACATGCTGGGATCTGCCTGGCTGGGAAGCAATTTGGGAAGGGGGCAGGGAAGACAACAAGGAGGTGTTACCCTCTATGTCAAAGACCAGCTGAAGTGCATGGAGCTTCAGATGGATGAGGAGAGAGCTTATGGGTCTGGATTAAAGGGAGGGTAGGAAAAGATGACATTATAGTGTGGGTCTGCTGCAGGCCACCTGACCAGGAAGACCGAGCGGTTGAGGCCCTCTATAGACAAATAGGAGCAGCCTCACATTCATGAACCCTGGTCTTCATGGGGGACTTCAACCATCCTGATATCTGCTGGAGGGACAATACAGCAGGGCATAGGCAATCCAGGAGATCATGGAATGTGTTGATGACAACTTCTGTCTCCGAGCGATAGAGGAACCAATGAGGAGAGGTGCTGTACTGGGCCTTGTTCTCACCAACAAGGATGGGCTGGTGGGGGAACGTGAAGCTCAAGGGCAGCCTTGACTGCAGTGACCATGAAATGGTGGAGTTCAAGATACTTAGGGCGGTGAGCAGGGCGCACAGCAAGCTCAGTAATCGGAACTTCAGGAGAGCAGACTTTGGTCTCTTCAGGGATCTGCTTGGTAGAGTACCAAGGGATAAAGCCCCAGAGGGAAGAGGGGCCCAAGAAAGCTGGTTAATATTCAAGGATCACCTCTTCCAAGCTCAGGAGCAATGCATCCCAACAAAGAGCAAGTTGGGCAAAAATGCCAGGAGGCCTGCATGGATGAAACAAGGAGCTCCTGGACAAACTCAGGCACAAAAAGGAAGCCTACAGAGGGTGGAAGCAAAGACAGGTAGCCTGGGAGGAATACAGAGAAATTGTCCGAGCAGCCAGAGATCAGGTTAGGAAAGCTAAAGTCCTGATAGAATTAAATCTGGCCAGGGACATCAAGGGCAATAACAAAAGCTTCTATAGGTATGTCAGTGATAAAAGGAAGACTATCAGTCATGATCTGGGTTGAAACTTTTTATAAGCCTTCTGCCACTTAATAGTTCAGGAAGGCTTCCTTCAGTGTTTGAGAAGGGTACCATTCTTGTGATCTCCTTCCCAGACTGAAATCAAGAATTTTCTTAGTAAACCTCTTTTTTTTTAACATTTACCATGTCTGCACATAAAATGTTCCACTCAGTTCTGCTGTTCCTTTTCTTGAGAATACAGTTGATTGATAGACCCAAATTCAGAAACCAATTAGTTTATGTGTACCTAATACAATGTAGTTCAAAATAAAACAACTTAATGCGAAAACTTTTGTGTGATAACATCTTAGGAATACCAATAATGCCTTAATCCTGGCTTGACAGACTTCTGTCAGTACATGTACCAGAAGATGCTGGATAACACATTGATCCACATGCATTTGTTAGCTTATATTTTTGAATTTTCAAAAACTAAATTTATTTACTTTGTCTCTAATCTAGAATGTTACTTCACTCTGTTTTTCTTATAAATAGAAGTGATGAACATGACTTAATTGTCCAGACATATACTTAAATCATTTAGGTTTTGATGATGGCAGTTATTTTTTTGCTTAACAATGAATGACCATAGACACAAGACTTTTGTTTATATTATGTTTATGTTTTTTTTTCTCCTCCCTTTGAAAGGGTGTAGAAGCAACTATCTCTATATTACTGCTTCAGAAAATGCCATTAAAACCTGCTCTGAAAAGGTTGGCAAAGGAGATGAATTAATTCAGCATGCCATCTGTGACGTCAACGGCACTTGCCTTGTTGCCAGTGCACTGACTTAGAGTGAGTCACTGTGGTAATTTTTTTCCAGACCCCCACAAAACTGTGGGATGCAGTAATCACAGAATTGCACCTGGGCCATCTCTTGTGTATTTTTCATGCAGCTATTAAAAAAAAAAAAAATTACATAATCTGGACTAGAGAATTGTTTCTTATAGCAAATTTTGTTATAAATTTGACTTAAGTAGATTTATAGCTGTGTTGCTAATGGCAAAACCAGCCACTTGACAAAATCTCAGTTCTTACAGAAGAGAATATGTTAATGTCTATTTGGTATTTACAGTGGTCCGTTGAGGTTAAATGAAAACATCTGTTTGGCTGGTTTTTACTGTAGTGGAATTAGAAGTAAAAATAGAGATGAACTCATGATCCATCGTTTCCTTTCTTGCTAAAAAAAAAAAAGTTATTAAATATTTCTAAAACATTTCTCATTTTATCCACAATTTAAGAACTATGGATATTAAGAGTGAGGTAAAGGTAAAATTGGCTTTCCATTATAAAGCTCGTTGGTTAAATTTTCACAGAACTGGATCAGAATTCCATCATTTGGAAATTAGGAAACATGAAACATCTTCTAGGGCTGATGTGGTTTGAATCTGGTGGTCAGGTTGTGTTTGAAGTCTTCCAGTGAAACTATCCATTTGGACTGGAGAATAGGAGAGATTCATACAGGAGTAACCTACCATGTACAATTTTCTTTAAGCATAAGGCATGCTTGCGTCCCTATCCCAAATTCCATCTTAAAGGGGTTTCAGGGTTTCATCTTGATCAGAACATTGAGTCTGCCTTGTCTTTATTCATTCACTTACCTCCTAACCTAAACCTGTGATGTATATCTTTAGGAGATCCAAAGCAGCTGTTTCATTTTAACTTGACAGACCTAAATTGTTTAAGAAGATCTGATTGCTTGTGTCTATGGTAGAGATGTTCATGGGACAGGAAGTTTGGACCCAAAATCTGGTTTTGTTGGATATCTAACTGGAATCTGAGTCAGTTTGTTCCCTAGTCATGGGCACTGTATTCAGACAGACCAGCTGCTGAGATCTGAGCTGCTATCAGGACTCCATTCATGGCTTCTTGAAGCATTATGTTATTGCAGAAATTTCCAGGCACAATGCACTGATAAACCAGCAGTTTTCAGTCATTTGTTGTTTCTTTTTTTTCTAGTTATTTGTTTTTACTGAAATAGATAGGGAAATATTTGCTATATGTATGTAATTATTCTTTAGGATGTGTGATCTATATGTATATTAACAACTGACCCTCCAAAACTCTACAGGAGAGTCTACTTACATTTCTTGGTTCTGTGGGGCTGAATGAAGAGTGTACACTTCTCATTGTATGGCCATATACATACCATGTTTAGGAGTGGGGTGGATATGTGACCTACAAGTATCAATAAGGATTTCCAGTTGGTGATGCTGTCGTGGATATCTACAGTACAGACTGCCAGCGTATTTTGAGGGATACCTCAAATCTTGGTTGGTTCTGTGAAGAACAATCTGTTGCAAGCTCACTTAATTTTCTCATTAAACGTCAGGAAAACAATCACTGGAACAAGAGAAGAGGAAAAGATTGCTGTTTGCTTCTCTTCTTGTCGTGAAAGGAAGCACTGAGGTTTTGTAAATGCACCAATCTTTAGTGGGAGTCAGTGGAAGATACAACAGAGGAGTGGTTGTCTCCTGATACAGAGCATTTTAGGCTAAACTAAGAGAAATTATGTATTTCTTGTAACTGGTTGTATTTCGTTCTTTTA